ACTGAAAGAAGAAACTAAAACTAAAAACTAAGGAAAAACACAAGTACGAGTCGGGTCTTACCCCCCAGGCTTGGTAGTACACTCATGTACGTCTTGTACAGCAATGGTAGAGCGTCATGATTGATGTGAAGGTTGGGGAGGTGAGGGATGAAATCGTTTCCTACCAGGAAACCCATTAGAATCCAGTCATCTATTACTCGCTCCAGGTCATAATCGGAACCCATCTTATTCTGAAGAAAGAGGCACAAACATTTAAACGTCATACAATACGATTTAAAAAGCATATATTAAAAAATTATCATAATATGAAATCTCGCCTGCCCACTTTAGGCACGCTTGTCTCACCTTGAGCTCAGAGAACTCGTAGTCGATATACTCTCTCATCAGAGACAAGTGAAGCAAGTGAAAGGTGGTCTCCTCTGGAGCTGTTATCCTGAAAGAGAACAAACGAGCAGGGTTCACAAAACAATGCAGCAAAACACAGAAAGACTAAATCGACTGAAGAGAAGAAGAGAAGAACCTTTTCTGGGATTTCTTCCCTCCGAAGCGGACTTCCTCCCTGAGCAGAGCGAAGTTTGGCTCGTGGCTGGTCAAACCCAACATAATCTACAACACAGAGTGAAGGACAGACTGAACCTTCAGGCACTGATTTGAGCAAAATGCTCATCAATGACCTGTTTAAACGTACCAGGTCAGCATCCAGGCCGTACAGGCAGTGTCGCGTGTTGGGGTCATGATTGGGCTTGGTGTTCTCTGACCGAATAAACTCCATGATTTTATGTTCCCCCTCCCCTGGTGTCTGTAAAGATAAGAAACACAAACTTAATACATTCATTACCGACTCAGAAACAGTACAAAAGTACATACAACAGTTACACCACTCACACCCACCTCGTGACCGGACAAGTACACTTTGACATTCTGCCATAGCTTGTCATTGGAGAGCTTGTTGTGGACGAAATACTTGAGCTGTTCCTGAAGTCGCGCCATGAACTCAGTGCCTGGAAGAAGGATTTGAGATTAAAAGAACTGCTAACATTTTCAGAGACCTGTTCTCTGTGTATCTCTTAAGGGTCCAAGAAGAACTGAGCAACCCAAGTGTTTTTAGCTGCTCAGTTCTGCTTTCCCAAGGGGTCGCTACACCTGACAGATCTGCATATTTAATTTGACAGAGTTTGAAACAGGACCCTTACAGTTAATCCAGGCTCAAGACTAACAGAAGAGGTACAAGGCTGGGTTTGTCCTCCTTGTGTTGAAATGGGAAATCTGTCTTATATAACGCCTGATTTAAACTTCTGCAGGGAATCTTCACAGAGCCTACAAAGTAGGCTACGTAACTTGCCAGTGTAGTTGTCGGTACCTGTCCTGGTTCGTCGTGTGTTAAACACAGTGTGGTAGTATCCTGGTGTTTTAAACGCAGTGCCAATCGATAGAAACAAATAAGATTCTGGATTCTGTTTTCCCCCTCCTCGGTCTCCACTCTTTGCTTCTG